GATTTAGGCCCAAACTGTCCTTTGTTTTGGGTTCTCCTGTGTAATACACTTAGCACCCCAATTTCCTGAGTACTGTGCTGAGTACTCTGCATGTTCAAAGTACAACTTCCATTAAATTCAGTCCCATTGACAGAGCTTAGCATTTTGTGCAAGAAGGCTTTTAAATGTAAATTCTTAGCAGAACATATGCAGGATAATCATATTGTGTAATCGTTGGCACCTAATTTAGATCTCTATTTTGTAAGGTTAGTCCCCCAGGGCTCTGCCACTGTCCACGAGAAGTAGCCCTGCTGCCTCTGACTACGCACCCGTTGTACATGTGCTATTCAGCGAGTTGGATCCACAAGTTGAATTAGATGAATAATAATATTTTTAGTTTTATTTGTTTACTTGTTTGGGTTTTTTTGGCATGGTAAGTTTTCAGCTGGATCTGCTGGTCTGCCTGACAGTTGTATGCACAAAATTATCAGTAGCAATAAAAGTGAGATAAAAGTGCACAGGTCAGTCTGACACTGACCACAACAGGCCAGGATGATCTCTTTAGGCAGCAGCTTATGGCACCTATGTAATTCAATTATATGTCTGGCACAGAATAATGTGTATGTTGTGTAAAAAAAGGCCACATGGAAAGAAAATTCTACCAAATCTTCTAAGCTTCCATAAAAAAAGTCCACAAATGAGGCAAGGAGAGAATCCGTATTACCTGGCAATAGCAAACTATCTTAACACCTTTTCTTTCTGTAGTTCTTGCTTCATTCACCTGGTACGTATTCCAAATTCTGCAACAAATGAGGCAAAGGTCCTACAGAAAACAATCTCATTTATCACACAGCTACAGTGTTTTCTTTGTACAAGGAATAAAGCTGAAATCCCTTGGGGAAAAAAAGCAGTATGTTGTAGTTGATGATATTTTAACACATATAGACAAAGAGGGCAAATTAACTTTAAGTAATTGAATTTGAAAGCGGAAAGACATTTTCACATTGGTTTCTCCATCCGACTATTGAGAGTTTTAAAAGGCAGATCAAAACTCCAGAAATTTCATCATGTGGAACTACAGAGGAGTCAAGTAGCAGAATATGAACACTCCGAGCATGTTAACATCTCAGTTATAGAAATTGATTTTTAAATAACTCTCATTTTCAAAATTCTTTTACAGCATCTTACAGAAAATACATAAACATGCAGCTTAGAACCATAAAAAACGTCCAAGTTTTCAAGTCCATTAAAGTTGATATACTTTCAATCGATCATAGATCAGGCAGGCCCCATGTATATAAAACAATGTTTGCAAAACACTGTGCAAATGCAGACATTTTTTTTCCAAATTACTTCAATAAGCAAATATATATTTTAAAGAGAGAAATACTGGGAATACTGGGAGTACAGGAAACTATGTTAATTTGACACAGTGACTGTGATTATGAGCAACAGGTCTGAAGACCCAGAAGGAGAATGATGCCCACCTGCTTTTTTGAATTGGTATCCTGCTATATGTATAACCATTCTGTTATTGTTGTGCTTTTCACATTACTGCAGTATCAAGCAAACCCACAAACACTTTTAGGGGAAAAACATTAAAAAACAGTGACTTATCTTGTGAATTGGCAAAACAGTCAATATTTAACAGTGATATATAGACCACCTGTTCCTTTTTTTTTTTTCCTTTGTGTAACAAACTGAACATACTGCGGTTTGTTTCACAATACAATCACTTTCAGAAAGTACATTAAAACCTATGGATACAAATGAGATGATAAACTGAGGGTTCTCCTTGTTTATGAGGTAACAACTGTACCCTGTGGAGGTGTTTATTAGACCTGTTACAGATATACATGTAGTTGCTACTAAGTTAAGTGGAAGCATGCTCAAGTTTTTCTTGTAATACAAAAATGTAAAATAAGTGGAGCTACATTTCATAACAAAAGACACACAAAATACATCAAAAGACTGAAAAGTACATGCAAGAATGTACACTAAACTGAATGAAGTGAGAATACTACAAGCAGCAGAAAATTTTAATAGCCTCTTCAGTCAGTTGTAAGTAAGATTTTACCACAGTTTCCAATGCTAACATATACAAACAAACTGGAAAAAACAAGTGAATACTAGCTTTCTTTGCATTAATTTTACAAGAGAAAACAACATGGACCAGAGATTGTGCCTGTGAAGAAATGCAGTGGGAAAGTAAAAAGACAGTTGGAAAGTCACAAAAATCAAATCAAAACTTGCACTTCAGGCATAAATTGATTGCCCATAATATCATACTATCATTATCTATTCTCAAAACATAGTGCTTTTAAGCTCTGTGGAGACTGATGAATCGTATTTGAACTCAGCTGTAAATCACACTATGCAATCATCTTCTCAAGGTAATGGGGTACACCTGCTAATCACAGTTAAAATAAAATAAAATAAAATAAAATAAAATAAAATAAAATAAAATAAAATAAAATAAAATAAAATAAAATAAAATAAAATAAAATAAAATAAAATAAAAAACAGACCAAGGCACCATTACTTACCCTCCTACACCAACTGTGGGCTGACTCTCTAAAAGCAATGGTAGGTATCACTGCAAGTCCTCTGCCAGGTGTTTCACTACGATTCCCTGTCTTTGTTTTTTCCCCTACAGTTTACAAGCCTTCTTCCTTTTTTCCCCCATTTTTTTCTTCAGATAGATTCAAGGCAAAAATTGGGAAGAACAGCTGCCAGGGTCAGACACCTAGGAAAAAATATAAGAGCTAAGCAAGCACACAGCAATGTTTCCTGAGAATGCTCCCCCAGCATCCAAACAAGGTAGATGATGCTCCCTGAGCCAAAAGTAAATCTAAGGCTTTTGTGCAGTTTTCTTCCCTCATGTATTTCATGCAGTTGCTTACTGGATTACTGCAAGCTTCCATCATTCATAACATCTTACAATATAAATACCAGCATATTAACTACACATGCTCTAATCTTTGTTTTGTGTACTAAAATTGCAATGGCTGTTTAATTGATGGGTAAAAATATGCAATCAACTGCTACTGATAGGAACATCTCATTTTTTTTCTCATTGGAATTTTGAGCGTTTCATTGGAATAGTTCTGTACTAACTAATTTATGAGAGAGTGACTTACGTTTTGTATGCAGAACTCCCCATCTATGTTTTAAATATCACTGTAAATGCTTCTCTGAGATGAAAAGCAGTGGTTCCTATATCTGAGGGCTATTATCTCTTTACGACAGCATGCTATTAGCTCATCTTGGTTTCAGTGAACCTTTGTGCTAGAAGGTTATTTAGTTGTAGATTTCAAAATTATTTTAAAAAACAAAACCTTGTTCTAGTACAAGAATCTGTGAAGCATATCCAACACATATCTCATAGACATATCAGACATTCATAGTTTGATCCATAAACTGGTAATTTTATACTACAGTTCTTCTAACCTATTCCACATCTGTATTCCAGACTGAAGTGTCATTGGATTAAAAATAATAGCCAAGAAAATGTACTACTGAACAAGGGAGATGAACAGAGATAAACCTAGAAGTTATAGGTAGTAACATTACTGTTTTAAAAAACAATTTCACAACAAAGAGAGGGAGATTTATTTATTTATTTAGGACCACTATCTATTTGTTTCTTTATTGTAACCTCATGGGCCTTTAAAATGGGTATCATATAGAAAGGAACATTTCCCTTTGTCCCAAATACACAAATCTTCTAGTACCAAGGATACTACTTCAGAGAGCTAAATAAGGTATTTTTACGTTAAATAATATTCTCCCTTAAAATAATTATATTCTGTCAATTTCACATATTAATTTTTGGTCTTTGAGTAAAGGATGGAATCTATAGTTTGGCTTACAAAATGGAGTATCTATAAATGGAATCTTATAATTTGGCACTGACTTATCTTTTACTGTGAGGCAACTAAATGCTTGAAGCTTGTTATATTTAGGCCATAGATCCAGAAGCTCCCATGAAAACTCCTTATAGCAGCCTTCCAGTACCTAAAGGGGGCCTACGAGAAAGCTGGGGAGTGACTCTGTCAGGGAGTGCAGTGATAGGACAAGGGCTAATGGCTTTAAGCTAAAAGAGGGTAGATTTAGATTAGGCATTAGAAAGAAATTCTTTACCATGAGGGTGGTGAGGTGCTGGAGCAGGTTGCCCAGAGAAGTTGTGGATGCCCCATCCCTGGAAGTGTTCAAAGCCAGGCTGGATGGGGCTTTGGGCAGCCTGGTCTGGTGGGAGGTGTCCCTGCCCATAGCAGGGAGTTGGAACTGGATGGTCCTTAATGTCCCTTCCAAACCAAACCATCCTGCAAGTCTGATTCTGTTTGAAATCTTAAGGTTGGGACTCCAAGTCATATAGATTTGGCAATAATGTAGCCTGAATATGGCTCATGAATGTGATCCAACCAAAACTAAAGGGAATACTCATACTTGTTACTCAGAATTAATTTACTTAATAACATCCAGCTTACAAATGTTGCTAATAAAAGGATGTTATCTATCTTATTTGGTATTATTTTTTAAAGGCAAGCACAGAAATTAAGGCTGGCAACGTGCCTACTGGTATTTAATGAGTCACCATCCACAGGGTTGTTCAAGGAAAGGTTGGACCTGCTGCTAAGGGCCATGGTATAGTGGGGTGATATTGGTAGTAGGGTGATGGTTGGACCAGGTCCTTGAAGGTCCTGGTCCCTGTTAGGATGTTAGGACCTGCAGCTGTAGCGTCACTATGTCAACTTTTTTTTTTTTTTTTTTTTTCCTAAAAGTAGGAGAAACAGCAGTTTCTAAGCCACTTTTGCAAACGGCCTTGAAATTCTTCCTTCAGAACAGCAGGCCGCGGCCCAGCTTCCCCTGCTACACCGTGCTGGGGCCGGGGCCGGGGCCGGGGCTCGGAGCGCTCCCCTGCCGGCCGGGCGGCTGCGCAGAGCCGAGCGGCGGGCGCGGGATGGCGGCCGCCTTCCTCCCCCCCACCTCCGGCCCGGCCGGGCCCGGCCCCGCCGCTCCGCCCCGGGCAGCGGGGCGGGGCTGCGGGCGGCGGCGGCAGCAGCGGCAGGCGGCGGCGCGGCACGGCGCGGTGCGGTGCGGTGCGGTGCTCTCGGCGGACTGCTCGGGAAGGGCGCCCCGTGGCCGCCACGACCCCCGGTGGCGCTGTGCCTCCTGCCTCTCCCCGCCCCGCACGGCCGCGCCGCTCGGAGCCCCGGCGGCGGGGGGGCGGTGCGAGGCATGAAGCTGAGCAAAGCCCAGTACGACGAAATAGCGCAGTTCCTGGGGCACGTGCAGCCCACCCGGCAGAGCCTGCGGAAGCTGAAGGAGAAGTTCCCTAGGTAAGTGCTCCCTGCCCTCCGCCGCGGCACCCCCCGGCGCGGGGCGGGCGGCTGGGGCCCGGGCGGCGGCCTGCGGGCTCGGCCGAGGGGCCGCGGGGGCCGTGCCGCCAGCCCCGGCCTGTGCCTCCAGTTCCAAGCCCCCAGACGGTACCAAGTCACTCGGACACGCACACCTGCACCGACGGCGACGCACAGGGCTCGCCGGGACCCGAAAAGTTAGGCACAAAGTAAAGTGTGCGTCTTCCCCCGGCTGCACCTTCAAATAAAAGCTCTCATGGGGGTCCAAAGCACCAGGCACATCTCTTGACACGCACGAAGCATTAGGACTCGGGGTTTTCCTCTCTGGGTGATACCAAAGCAGGAGGCCTGGGGTGCCACTTCCCTCGTGGTATAGGGAAATGGGGCTTTCAGGCCTTTTTGGACCTCTTACATCGTGCTGATCTCTGTTCAGTTGAAGGCTGGAAGAGATCAGCAACTTCCACGTGACCATTCATCTGTTTTCTCATCTGAACAGCACTCAGGATTGTCAGAGGCATGCCAGAATGACCACAGGCTACTGTGGAAGGGTCAGGATTGAAAATATTAAAAGTTTAAAGGTCTAACCTAAAGGATCAGGATGCGCTTCATGCAATGATCTTCATTGCTAAAATTTGCTTGCTACTGATAATAACAAAGTTGTAAAGGGCATGTTATAAAAGGCATGTTGCAAGAGAAAGTTAATACCAAATTGGGTAGAATTGGAGAGGAATCCAAATTGGATTCCATTGGGAAACTTGTAGTACTACCTTTAAAATGCACCAGAAACATCTTTTCTGTAATAGAAAGCTGCACATCCATAGATGTTCTACTGCTCTGGTGAGAGGTGGAAATAAATAAATAAATAAAAATCATTCACATGCTTCCTAAGCAAGCCTTGCTAATCTTATGACAGGTGTGACTGGGAAAATTGCCTCTGTGTAACTTACAGTAAGTGGATGAAGAGCCAACACTAACTTAGGCTTTTAAACTGTCCAATGAAAACTTTTCCTTTTTCAGGAAAGTAATGTAGTTAAAAATCAAGCTGAGGCATTGACCCTGTTGAAGAGAAGAAGTGATGATGAAGCAAAGAGGTTGGTTCAGTGAGCACATTGAGTTGCGGAGCCCAGTTCAACTTGCACAGTACTTGTGCAGCTTGGGAAATCACTTACTGTGACAGCATATCTCAGATGAGTGTACGCTTGGCGTTACCGCTTTGGTTGCAATGAAACTGAAGAGTGTTTGTACACATGTATGCATGCATACATCCACACACACACGTGCACAATATTCTCTTTTTTTAGACTCCTTTTAAAGCTGTCTTGAAAGACAGAATTTGGGGTGGTTTGCCAAGTCAGTCACTGTGTGTAGGAACCTGCTTACAATATCCACAGAAATAAGCACTTCTACTATGGAAAAAAAAATTGTCAGAAAACTACCAGGCCTTTCTGCTGATGCCTTATACTTCCCAGTGTATCCCTTTGAGGCTGTGGAACATCCGTTGGCTCCTCAGTTTCAGAATTTGATTACTCCTGGAAAAAAAAAAAAAAAAGCACTAATAACAGAACATGGAATTACATGAGGGAAAACATTATGCTTTTTCTAAACCATCTGGCTTCAGGTGTGGCAAATGCTGTAAGGCAGAGGTTAGCTATAATTATTTCTTCCATGATTTGCTGGCATGGCATATTGTTATGTTGTCACCCATATTAGGAGATCAGAATGTCCTCTTATGGAGTTTCTGCTTGTAGGCCTCTCCTGAATTTTGTTTCCCCATCCTAAGAGAAAGCTAAAATCTGATGTTTGAATGATGGGTACAAGATTTCTTCTCATCTGCTACTTCAGTCACTGAATTGCTACATCTTTAAAATGTCTACTTTAAGTGTAGCTTGAGGAAGTTACAGTTTCCTTCTTCTGTAAGTCTCCTTTCTGTGAATGGCTCAGCAAGTGATGTTTATTTGTTGTCTTTTTGTTTATTTATCATAGTAGGGCAGATGCCAGAAACCCTCAGAGGAGAAAGTTTGAAGTAGCAAAATCTGTTGGGATAGTGATTTTGAGTTGCAGTTAAAATTTTAGAATACATTCAAACACCACTGCTTCCCTTTGCAAATTAGGGGGATGTACTGAAACAGGTGAGTGTTATGATGCGAAGAGTGGGTACTCTCTGTAAAAATTAAGTTGTAAAAGAGGCTGCCTGGAGAGATATGTAAAATTGTTTGCCATCCTGAGTGTTTGTTTAGAGGCTCTTACAAGTTACCTGTTTGATAATTTTGTAGCTTATATTTTCTGTATAAAGTTTTTTTTTATAATTTAGAACCTGTGTCATTCTCTGCAGGGATTAGGAGTTTAGTTGGACTTCTTTGCCTTTTTTTTTTATTTATTTATTATTATTATTCAAAACAGAATAGAACCCTAACTTTCTAATTCAGTCTTTTAAAGAAAATGTTCCAGAATATATCAAGGTGGTTGCAGTGGTATGAAGGTATCCATAAACAGTTTGTCATTACTATGGGTCACTGGTTCAAACTAGGAAGTACATCCAGAAAAGCTGCTTTCACTGTGCACTTTCATTCCCAGGAAGGATCAGTATTCCACTGAGAGTACAATAAATAAGTTGACAGTTTTCAAGTATTTCTGGTTCCTACTGCTTCACAGATCCTGAGAGTCTTTGGACTCTCTGCATTTTCTCAGGCTTTTTTTTCTAATACTGTCTTATCTACTATATGCTCTCTTGCCTATTGTGCTTCTTGACAGTTCACAGTTTTCTCTCCCTTTTTGTTTCAAAGTACGTTTCATATTTTGTTATGGGTCAGCGGTTGTTCTACAGTTTATCCCTAAGAGCAATCTGTAATTTCCACAAAATTATTGCCACAATTTAGTGTGTATAAGTGTGCTGTGTAGTGGCTGCCAACACGATCTGTAATTCTGTGTTTATAAGTATCTTTATAACAGCATCCATACTTTCTTCTTTTTACAAGCCTGTAATGTTATGGAAAACCCAGATTTAGTGTAATTTCCAAAATAGAAACTCATAAATCAAATTCCCGTTCTTTTTCTGCTAGTGCAGCATTTCTATTCCATAACTGGCAAATTATTTGTTTGTTTTTAAGGTATTGGTTACATGCTTAGCAGTTGTCTTTCAACTTTATCATTCATGTTTACGTTCAACATGTTTGTATTTAACAGCAGGATTTGGGGATGATATGAGGATTATCAAAATGGAATTTTGTCTGCTAAGTATGACAAATCTCTGCCAAAATCGGATGCAGTTCATTTGAGCTTCTTAACATATACAACACTGGACTGCTAATTCTGAACACTTTGTGTTGTGCTTTTCTAAAGAGTGCCAACTTTCCTGCTTTGTTTCTCACCTGGTTATCTGCTGGCTAGTAATTTGTGTTTTGCTTTGTAACTTCTGTACTTGATTCTTCTGCTTTCTCTTTAGCCATGAAGCCATGAACTGATGTTCATCCGTGATAGTATTTTTCTCAGTAAGAAGTAATGTCTAAATTGGATTGCCAATTGTAGGGCGAGTTACAATCTCATTTCTTTAGCACTTGTTTTTTCTCTTTTAAGTTAGAAGTACCCACCAGTAGAATCTTCTCCAAAACAATTACCTTAGCATTACCTATCCATGGTGACAAGATTTAGGTTAGACCTTTAAACTTTTAATATTTTCAAGTACCATTTTAACTTGCCTGGGAAAGTCCAGCTTGAGTTTGATTCATACCCAAGTTGAGTGTAGTTGTTTCCGAGGGGGGGAGGGGAACAGCCAAAAACCTCAGTTTCTCTGAATATGGGAATGTGTGATTAATTTCTCTTTGAAAACTTTTCCTGAAGTTCCTATCAATAGAACATGATTGACAAATAACTGGACCCTACTCAAATCTGTACCTTGTACAATATTTTGCTCTTCTTGGTATGCAACTCTGATGGAATTCTACATTTTTCTTGCTAGAATCTTCTGTCTTCTGCCAAGATTTCTAAGGGTGTAAGGTTTGCTGACCCAGTTCATTAGAGTACTGTCTTGTTTTTTATTACACAGAGTTTTTCCTGGTTTGTTTCTGTTCTATTTAAGTCTGAGTTTTTTACACTATGTTATGTCTGATTTAGGGATTCCAGGAACTTTCTGACGGTGCCAGTTGACTAGTCTTTCTTCTTTTAGAGATGTCAGAAACCTTACTTTCTGAGTCCTTGCATTGAACTGTTGTGGAAGATATTTCAGTTCATCTAGGAGTGATGTATTCCTCCATACCACAGTTAGTGTTGTCTGTATTGTTTCTCTTCCTTAATTATAAATTGTTAAACAAACTTAGTGCTTCTAGCCTGACTTCATTTTCAGTGCCTCCACTTTTATTCCTATAAAAGAAGCATTCTTTTTTGAGGCCCTTTGAGTGCAAATCATGTTTATAGGGAGTTTCAAAGTGCTAGGATTTCAAACTATTAGAATTTATAGCAGCTGCTCTGTGCAAGTCTTTACTTGCTACCTTTTCATCAGAGCATCTGTGTAAAGATGTACTGTTCTGTTTGTGCATCATCTGTAAAAGCTTTCTTCTTAGCGATAAGGATGAGCATTTCTTACAGCAGAAACATAAGGGAAGCTTACCAATAAGCAAGGGACTAAACGCCCTGTAAGCAAGAGAAAAAGGTAATAGGCTGGGTCAGAGTGGATTTTGGCCTTTTTTTTAAGCGTGGTTATTTGGTTTTAACATACTTCACACCAGGCCTGGGAAGTGCACCAACAAGATTTGTTATTAAATAATGTGTCTGCGTGGTAACGTCTCACAATGTAAATTAGAAAATAGATTTTTTATTATTTTCTTGATTTTATCTTCTTCTTAGTGATGGTTCATACCGAAACAAAGGCCTTTAAAGAATTTTAAACATGTGACATCCAAACCAGCCAAACTTCTGATTATTTAAGACTCAGTTAACATCTGCAACTACCTCAAAAGAGGTTGTAGTGAGGTGGGGGTCAGTCTCTT